GAATGGAACCAATCCTACTTTATAGGGTTGTCATGAAGATTGAGTAGATTCAGGAAGAATATGAAAGGCTTCTTCAAATTGAAAAGTATGTTCCAAGATTGATTGTTGTTATGACTACCATCCCCTCCTCCTTCCCAGAGATCTCCAGGTCTATGATCATCCTCAGAATAAAGGCAACCCAAGCCCTCAGTCCTCAGTTCCAAAGCCACCCTTACAGCCTGTGTGGTACTCCTCACTGCTGCCGAGCCCCGCCCAGCCTGACTGCCCTCCTCAGTTCCATGCCTTTGCTCTTTCTCTCCTTGCCAGTGCATCAGACACCCTTTTCTTCCCCACAAGGTTAACTTGGCCTCTTGACAAATGTGTGACAGCTGTGAGTCACAATGTATTGTACACAATTTTATCAACACCCCGACCAGGTTGGAAGCACCAGAGAGGCAGGTTTCTTTTTGCTGTGGTGCTCTAAATGCAACAGTAAACATCTGCAGAGTGTATTCACTTTCCATAAACCTGGTACCTTTCACAATGGAAAAAGCAAATGAATAAAGGAATAAGAGGTAGATGCTTCAGTGGCTTAGAATTTATTCTTCATCATCTTTTCCTAATTAAGTCTCAGCAGTCCTTCAGGGGTCACCCTAAGTTCTACTTTCTGCCAACTAGAATGAATCTCACCATTCCCTGGGATCTCACACCTGGGCTGCAACACCTGTGTCAATTCCTGTTACACTTGAATATTTGTAGACTGGCACACCATGCCCCCACATTAGACTGAGCATCTTGAAGGCCAAGGATGTATGTCAGAAACTCAATTTGCTCGAAGTCTCTAGGAGACACAGTAACTGATACATAGTAGTTGGTAGGTGAATAACCATGTGTTGTTAGTAGCTGCATGCAAATGTATTTGACTATCAGAGAAACCAAATCAGAATTTGCAATCAGTTCCTTTCTACAGTATTTGAATCAAGCTGTCAGTGGCTCTGTAGATAACCTTTCCTCTGACCTTTGCTTCAGCCCATGAAGGGATTCCCTGGCCACAGCTCACTTTAGAATGCCAAGGTCATTCCTAATTCAAACCTCTTTTGGTATGGTCCTTTGGACCCCAAAAAATTGGGTTTTGGGTCTCTAGCCTCTGACTCACTCACCAGCTAAATAGCAGCAACAGCTACCCAGCATAAAAATGCATTTACAAGTATACAGAAAGCAAAATGTCTTCAGTCTAGCTAAAGCCCTAAGAGTCATCTCATGGGATGGCCTGAGACATGCTTGGTGCCAGCTGGGGTCACCAGTGATTCACAAGCACTTCCGAATTAAAGTTCTTCTCTTCCCCCAGGAAAGGTCACTTTGCCCAGTTCCCTTCTGTCTTGGTTGAACTATGCATTGACACATTTATTTTTGCTGCCTCCTGGCTTGATCATTTTTCAATTACAGTTTGTCCCTCCAATTCTATCAGAGGGTCAGTGCAGGTCTCTTTCTAACCATAGATCCACATTTATGAAACTCTAATTAGGTATTTCCTTTAGCTGCTGACATCGGTTATTTGGTGACAGAGGTCTAAGGCATAAGCTCAGCATGAACTAAAGGACTGTGGGATGCCTCTTAGGGGTTCATTGGGGCAGCAACCTATATCTGAGTCTTGGCTCAGCCTGCTCCTCACTCCCAGAACACCTTGCCTTTTGGTGTTAAAGAAACATAAATCTTGCCATCTTTTGTAATTCATATTAAACTGAGATTAAAATAGGTCCCCTTTCAAATGTCTAGCATTGTGTTTATTTTTCTTTAGTCCTTCCTGCAGCAAGTAAATTCATGAGTGCTCTCATATTCTGTGAGTAGGAGTATAAATAAGTACAATCTTTTGCAGAAAAACACTGTGCCTTGCAGTGTATCATGTGCCTTAAAACTGAGTAATTCCATTTCCAGGTTATAATCAGAAATTCAAATTGATTCATGAATAAGAAATTTAGTACAGTATCATTTGATCATTTGTAACAGCTGATAGATAATATCTGGTAATAAGGGAATAATTAAGTATTTGTAGCTTATCCATATTCCATAGCCCTTTCAAATGAAGTTTTTGAGTGTGTTTTAAAGCTGATGTTAAGGAATCCATGCGAATGTTCAAATTGTTATGCAATATGGTCCGTATAGACCTTTCCCAAATGTTGTTTCTTCATAGGATGTTTACAGGAATGCTATTAAAAAGGTTCTATTTTCCAGCAAGTTTGAAAGCTATAATAGGAATGTGCTTGGAGGCTGCTGGAAGCCTTGGATATGATAATGAGAATGGACCCCTCTCCCCAAAATGTTCAGCTCAGTGTTCAGGGTCACTGTTTTATGTGATCACTGGAAGTTTCTCATCAGTGGAACATAATTCAGCAAAACTGAAGGAAAAATGTGTAGGAAATAACTGTACTACTGAAATGAGCTACAAGCTGCTGTTGAGATATGAAATTATTATATTTCCTGGCAATTTTTTCTCTTATCTTACAGAAGTGCTAAATGTTATGCAATAAAGAAAACCAGAGGGCCATTCTCTGTCTGCCTTTGACAGACACAAACCATTGTAAAATCAGCAGAAACAGAGTAGCTCTGCTGGTTACATAAAGAAGGTGACCACTGCTGTGAGGGTGGTGAAGGGGGCCAGGACAGGAAACCCCTTGCGTGCTGCCTGACTGGCTATTGGTGTTCTGTGTACACTCTTTAGAGCATGAGGTATGGCCAGAGGCACCTCACTGTCACTCAGGAGCTGACCACAAGCTTTCAGATGCCTCTGGGAACATCTCAGAATGTGAACCATATCCCAGGCTTCCACTGCTGCCTGACTGTTCTCAGTTGGAAACTCCCAAGTTCAGGGCACAGTGGGCCTCCTTAGATTGTGAGCTCTATTCTAACATTCCCCTTAGTTCCGCCAGTCTTCCCTCAGTCCTACACTCTGTCTTCAAGTCTTGCTTTTTTCCACCCCTATGAGCCAGATCATCCCTCCCCAGTCATAGGCCCAGCTCAAGAACCTTGAGTCTGGCCCAAGATATTAAGCAAGAGAAATATAAACTAAGTCAGGACTTCTCACTTAGTGTAACCAGACTTTGCAGTGACCTGCCAGGACCTCTTCAGTTTACCCTCCAATGTCCCCTAAAATATTCATCAGACTTTATCAGGCTAATGGTCTTCAAAAGGAGTAATTTTCTGAGACATGAGAAAGGACAATATAAAAAGAACATTAAGGAAAAACGTCTTATTTCAAAATGAAAGGAAAAAGATCATTTAGCATCCCTGTTGGTGTTATCTATTCATGAGAGGCAGCACATTTAATCCAGAGTGGGATGTAGGGAGGGCTTTGATGCCCTCACCTTGGGGTCACCTTCATGCAGAACTCATTTGTCTCCCCTGCCACAGATAGCAGGAGTGATGGAGACCAGATGGTGCAGATCAGAGGCATTTAAAGGAAGACTCCACGGGATACAAAGGGAGTAAAGGACAGAGTCCAGGGTGTTTCCTAGGCACACACGTAGGATGTCAGGGGCTGATGACACTGTTCTCCAGTCTTACTCTCTCTTAAACCTCTTGTGTCTTGTTTTAAGACAAGCCAGTATTGACTCCTATTTTGGGGTCATATTGTATAAACTATTCCCTGGAGGTCAGGGATTGTAACTCCACTCTTTGCCACATCTCTAACCAGTATCTCTCAGCAATCCATCAAGGCTGTTTCCAAGCCCTGTGACAGGAGTCATGGGGTCTTGTGAGAGGACCTCACAGGAGTGAGGAGCTCCAACTCAGGAATATCCACTTGTGGTCCTTCTCTTCCTTTCCAGGTCGAGGGCAGGGATGAGCTGAGTCCTACTGAGCAGACCGTCTCTGCTGGAAGTTATTTTGCTTGAGTTGAAAGACCCATGAGTGTACACCAGCTTCTCAGATAGGCATCAGATAAGACAAAGACAAAGCCTTTAAGGAGAAGTGATTCCTTCTTTGTCCTCTCTCGGAGTCTTCCCTCTACCCTCTCTAACTCCTCATTCTTTCCTCTTCCATTTTCTTTTTCCCTTTCCCCTTCCCATCTTCTTGCTCCCCCTTATCTTCGTCATTATTTCTTTCTTCTTACTTTCAGTCTTGTACCTGCTTTGTAGCCATATCTATCCTCAAACTTAGGAAAATGATTCCAATTGAACTTTTTTCTCTACTAAAAAACTAGGAGAATGTTGGTCAAAGAGTTGTAAGCCATCACTTCTAGTTACCCAAAGCTTGCCAGCCTAAAGAGCTGGCAATTCTGTGACCAATATGATCTCCCTAAATTCAAATAAATACAGTTGATCCTCTATATTTGCAGATTCTACACTTGTGGGTTCACCCTGACTTAGTGACCTAGCAAGACACTGACTCAAAGTAAATAATAAAAATTTTCTAGGGATACAGCTCAGTACAAAGACCCTGGGTTCAATAACCAGTACCACTAAAAAAAAAAAAAAATACATATTACTTAACGAGAACAGACATTTTTCTGGTCATCATTCTGTAAACAATACATAATAACAATTCGCATCATGTTTACGTTGTATTATATATTGCAAGTAATCTAAAAATGAGCTAAAGTATATGGAAGGATATACACAGCTTGTATGTAAATACTATATTATTTCATGTGAGCAATAATCTGCAGGTTTTGGTATTCACAGGAGGTCCTAAAGTCAATCCTCGGAATACTGAAAAGTGATATATTTGCCTGATGATTGGATTCTCATTAGCCACCAGAAGAAATTTCTCATTATGTTTGACAGTGAGCTTCTATACATTCAGTATATGTCAATCATTATGTTCTCTGCATTCTCTGCAATAACAATTTTTGACCCAAAAATCTCTTCTCCCATTTTGTAATTGGATTTTTTTAAATTTTATTTAAAAGGAAAAAGAAAAAACAAAACAAAACAAAGCGGTGTAAGGGTTGTAATTGGAATTTAAAAGTATGATATTGCATTGCATGTTTGATTGGAAGTGTCGTTTTCCTTTCTTTTCATTAGATTTGTGACAAAGAGTGGCATTACTATGTCATCAATGTGGAGTTTCCCGTGGTCACCCTCTACATGGATGGAGCAACATATGAACCATACTTAGTGACCAACGACTGGCCCATTCATCCATCCCACATTGCCATGCAGCTCACTGTTGGTGCTTGTTGGCAAGGTAAGGCTATGTGAAACCTTCTTTCCTACTCCGTATATAGTCTACGAAAGATACTGATAGAGGAAAAGGAAAACAAGGAAATATAAGAGTCAGTCAAAAACAAGTGGCCAGCCCTTACTAAGTATTACATAAGTATTAGTTCAGACACTAAACCTAAGTAATAACGAAACTTGGCTTGAGACCAGATTTTTATTTTAACCAACATATGTGGTGTTGTGGTTGTCTCTGAGTTGCTAATGCCATTTATTATTCTGAACTTTTATCTGTTTCCAAGCAGAGATTGTATGGAGGCTGAATGCAGAATCCTGTGATAAAACTGCTAGTTGGCTCTGATGCACACTAGGATGATCAGAAACCAAGTATCTCCCTTTATCCTCACACAAATAATCCAAACCTCTGTCCCTCTGTTCAAAGGACTCAAGGATGCTCAGGTTTGCGGGAAGGAAGCTGCCCACATCCCAGGAGGTTACCGTCCAGATCAGTTCAACCCTGAGACCTGGGTATCTAATCCCCAAATCCAAGCCCACGTCTTTTTTGGAAGCGAAGAAATGGATTCTCTGCATGCATGTAATCTTTCGGTCTCTCACACAGATCTGCTGGAGTCTTTGTTGCAGTTCCTAAAGAATTAGTAGTTTTGATGAAAGAGCAGAGGGAAAGAAAGATGCTCCCAAATAAGCACATTAGTAACTTGACATCTGACCCAATTTTATATTGATAAATTTCTGTGAAAACTTCCAAGATTTGTGACTTGAGCCTTTCACTATGGGAGGCTGAGAGAAAAATTGGTTACAGTGCGGTCATCCCTCAGTATTCCCAGGACATTGCTTCCAGCATTTCAGGTAGATTCCAAAGTCTATAGATGCTCAGTTACACTTGAAATGGTACAGTTCTTGTGCAGGACATATGTACATTTTCCTATGTGTTTTAAATCTCCCTTAGACTTCTTATAACACTTAATACAATGTAAATAGTATGTAAATCATTGTTATACTATCTTATTTAGGTAATGATAACAAGAGAAAGTCTAAGTGTTCCATACAATTTTTCAAACATTTTTTATCCACTCACAAAACGTGTGTATATTAGTCAACTGCCTAAGATACAGTAGCTGACAACCACAGCTTAAAGAAGGAGAGGTCTGATTGGTTCGTGGTTTCACAGGGTTATATCCATGTTAGTTGGATGGCTCCAAAGCAGAAACAGTATGGTGGAAAGACTTGGTGGAGGAAAGCTACTCATGTTGTGGCAGCTAGGAAGCAGAACAGGGTAACAGCACCAGAGAGGAAGAGGCCGGGGATCACAGATGGTACATAAGGTCATGTCTTCACAGTCCCCCCAGACATACCCAGAAGTGTGCTCTACCAATCTCCTGAGTAGTATCCAAGCCGATGAAGTCAACACAATCAAACTTCACCTTCGCAGTGTGGATTTAGAGGGGCACCTGGGTAAGAACTGGTCTTCTGAGAGCCAGCTGAGCCAAGAGCAAACTAGAGAAAGCGCAGGCCTCTCTAGTTAGATAAAGAACAACTTCGGGGGGGAGACAGAAGATGGAAAGCTATGTAGTGCCAACAAGCAGTGAGGATGCAAAACTCAGGAAGAAGATCAGGTGAAAGAGGAGAACACACTCGTAAGCTGAGGCCACTTACTTGTCTGTCATGTCTCATATGATAGAGAAACGCTTGTTGAGAATGTCAAGAAAATGTGGCAATAATAGTTTCTTCAGTGCCGGAGGCTTTTCTAGAATATTAGGAAAGGGAGGTTGTGTTATCTGGCAGAAGGCCACAAAGTTAATTGGTATGTAAGGTTCTGATTTAGTGGTTGCACAAAAACCATTTACCATGAGACACATCTGTGCAGCAATAACGGGCCTTCGTGTGGCTCACTGCCCCACCTGATGCCACTATGGATAACATTGCACATATCTGAAGAAAGCCCATAAGGAAAGAGTGCCCCAGTCATGTCACCCCATGAATGTAACTGTGATTTTTTTTTAGAGGACCTTGGAAACAACATCTGGTGTCCTGTCGCCCACGCCCATAACAAAAATCTGCCTCTAGAAGGCCAGTTAACACTGCCTTTAACCTGCCTGTGCCTACTTCCCAGAATGGAGAAAGAGTCCTACCAAATGTAAAGTAGTTGTATAAGCAATTAAGATAATCCTTGAATCACTTAATAGGCTAAATTGGGCTCTAGAAATAAGCAAGCCCCAATTCGAAGTTAATTGAAATAGTTCTCATTTCATACTCACTACAAATCAATAAAGGTTCTCCTGTTTTCCATGTAGGATCCAAGCAAACATTACAGTCACATTTCGGGATTTCCAGAAATAGGAAAAGATAGCATAGCAAATTATGCATAAGTTTCTAACTCTTCCACCTACCAAAGATGCCAATCATTTTTATTCACATTTATTGGGCAAAGCAAGTCATATGGCTACAGCTACTTTGAACATTACTGGAAAGCGATATCTGCAGAAATATCTGAGAGAAATACAGAAGATATTTTATGAAAAAACACTATTGATAACAACAGTTTGTCCACTGACAGGTGGATTCTCCTGCTTATATAAGCAATGTACTCTTTCCTGAGTGAGATAAGCCAAAAGTTCCACCTACTGCTAGATCCAAGCTCACTGTAATTTACTCAAGTTCACCCAACCAAATTTTTCCAACCCCAAGCCTCCAATCCCTATGCTTTTTTCACTGTGGCTCGGTGACCCATGTTATTAGTTGATCATTTTGTTGGTGTGATTATGTGTTAATGAAAAGGCACGAGCTGATGTGTACTGATACAAATGCTATAAACCCTTCATCTTTTGAGACTCTAACAAGCTTGCAATCAAAGAAAAAGAAAAAAGAAACCACTGCATTCCTTTGCTACATATGCCTCTAAGTGACCCTCCAAAGAGCAGTCAAAAAGTAATTTAAGCTTTGGAATCAAAAAATTTGAAATTCAAGCCAAATCCAACCAGTACCACTTAGTTCTGTGGATCTTGCAGGATCCTTAACTTCTCTGAGCTTCCATTTTGTTATCTATAAAATAAAAGTCTAACCTATCACATGAGGTTATCACAAGGATTAGGTGCTGGGCACATCATGCATGCTCCACATGTTTTATTTGAATGTATGTGCAGATTTTAAAATACCTCCTAGTTTCTCTTCCACATCCTTCTCTTTCATTTCATTTGAAGACAACACTTAAGATAGTCTTCAAGGCTTCAACCTGTTCTAGCTTCTGTGATCTCAAGTTTCTGCACTCCCTGCATGTCCTGACAGTACTCCTCCCCCAGGACTGACCCTGCCACATGGACTCTGTCCTGCTGCATTCATCCTCCAGTGAGAAAGAAAGTCAATGAAGCCAGAGAATAGTCAGTCAGTAGCCAGGCTTTGGAAGATGGGGCTTGAAGCATACATCGGTCAGGAGCCTGAAATGTGCAGTCTTTTCAGCCACAAACACTTGGGTGTCTTCCCTGAGAAGACTGATACCACATCTGCCAAGTTTCAGCAGATAAAAAAATCCTTAAAATCTTTAAAATTAGTCTTTATAAAATGAGCACAAGTTTACGGGTCAACAACAGAGAATCCTGGTCTGAGCACGCTCAGGGTCCTACTGCTAGAACATTCATGGACCAGAAGGAATGCAGAAGAGGCTGGAAAAAGGAGTAGAGAAGACACACTGGAACCTCATATCACCTTCTTAAGGAGTCTGAATTCCTGTGCATACCTACATCCCTTTTGGAGCCACATTTTCGTCTGGAATGGGTGTACCAAAAGATCTTTCAGTAAGACACAGTGCTGTGAAATTAATGGCCTGCAATACAGCTCTTATCTCCACATGTTTCTAAAGCTTCTGCTGTCTACTTATATACACAGGATGAGGCCTCTGGGTGAAACTCCAATTGCCTTTGGTCTTGCAGTTGTGGGGAGCTTTTCGGGTGTTTTTGAGGTTGGGCAGGGAACTGGTTCTCATTTGTGAAATTTGCAGTCAGGGCTTAGAGTGGGAATGGAAGATGATTTGATAGCAGCTACGTGCTGGGCTCTCCTGGGAGCTGGCGACAGCACTCTTGCTGGGCTCTGTTCTGCAGCCCCAATTAGCCTACTGTGTCCTGTTAGTGAATCTGAAAGCCAGTTCAGTGGAACTTCATTTTTGTTGGTATTTTTCCAGTAATTAAAAAAAAAATGAGACTTCATTTACACTTAAGAAATGGTGCCAGTAAGCCTAGAGCATGTAGCATCTCATAATTCTGCATAGGCCTTGCATCATGAGAAAGCTCTCCTTTCTCTGTCATCATTTCTGTGTCCATGGTGACACAGTACTCTCAGGAAGGAGTAAGACCCTCTCTCACAGCCAAGCTCACCCCGTGCTGATTCAGATCCTGCTGCTTCTGTACAAATGCCAAGATCCTTGCTTTTATATGGACTATCTATTATTCCATTTTTCTGTAACTGTAATTAAATACCTAAGGCTGGGTACTTTATAAAGCGAGGAAATTTATGTAACTCAAAGTTTGGAAGGCTGAAAGGCCAAACAGCACTGTACTGGCTTTTATGCTGCCTGCCCCCATCAAGCAGTGTCATTCATGATGTATGGCATCACAATAATAGGACAAGTGAAAGTGGGAGAGATAACATGGTGAGACAGAAAACCAGAGCACAGGGAGGGACCCGTCCTATAACTGGTCACTCAGTCAGCCTCATATCTTTTAAATTCCCATCTCCTTTCAATGTGGACCCTCTAGGGACCAAACTTCCAACCCAGGAACCTCTGGAAGACAAACTCAAACCATAGAAAATCACAATGAGAGAGGATATCACTTAAAAAACTAACATCCTTTTCCTTGGATTTCTTAGTCATCCCATTTTAAGAACAAAAGTTCAAGTTCTGCTCATAAACAATAAAAATTATGTACTCACATTTGCTTGGGCTTTGGACCTAACCACCCAGGTACTGTAACCCAGCTGTGCAAGGAAGTGAATCAGGGAACCTACTGACCATGCTAC